GTTAAAATTAAAATTACTTTGCATGTTAGATAGGCAACATGTGAAAAGAAAAAAAAGGCAAGAGAAAAACATTGCTTTACAAACCTTAAGACTTAATAGAAAAATTTGATATTTTGCATATGAAAGCATTGTAATGTTTACTGATAATGTACCAAATTTCGTTAACATTTGCTTACTAATTTAAAAGTTATGAGGTTGATCCCAGGGGCTGAGCCCATGCTGAAAGAGTTAAGTCTGAAGGCTTATAATACTAAATACTGGATTTTGATACCCATGTTGGGTGGTTAGTGGGAACACCACAGATAGCTCATTGTGTAGTTTTATACTTAATAACAAACAAATCCTTTATATTTTAGATACTTATGCAGATGAACAGATATCATGTACTTAAAAAGGTTTGAGATTATAAGCTCTGTAGAAGGGCATGTAAGCTGTATGATAAATTGTTAGTGTTATTAACCTTTGTAAAATTTTCTTGTAACAACAGTTTTATCATTTAGTCTGTTTTTAATTTTTTGTTCAACACTGTATTTTACATAATTTTATAAAATATCTAGTTATTTATACAGAGAATTAGGTCTTTTTATTCTAATTAGCAGTTTTTTTTGGAAAGAAAACAAAAACACAAGAGTTCAGAAATAATGCTATGAGAAGTTTGTCAAGCTGTACGTACTTTTTAAACTTTTCATAATTGTTGTCATGTTTAATAGATTATATGATTATGGAAGTCTACATACTTTGTTTTTTATTATTATTGGAATTAATGAACAATTAGTTTTTTCCTATGTTTCAACCACTAATCTGCTGCCATCTTCAGAGGAGTCCTGAAAGAAGTTTATGTGGTGACAGGAGCCAGAATTCAATCCTGAGCTTTCTTACTGGAAAGATGGGTTTGTTGTCTACTCATCTAGACTCTCATCCCACTGCAAATTGAAACAACCTTTTGAATGGTTTGAAGAGGGGTATCCAGGTTTTGCTAGTTTGGCTGGATACGGAAGATTTATTTTATTTTTCTCTTTGTCACATGTGTGGCTTATATCCCATTATTTTAGTATTATTACATTTTATATGATATTCTTCTCTTTCATGATGGGCTGTTACAGAAAGATTGGTACTACAGGTTGAATTTTAAATTTGTGGTGATCTTTTTTTTTCTCCAATGTATTTTTGTTACACTGCCTTGTATCTGTAGAAAACACATCACTG